TGAATGCAGTGGAAGTTTTGGCTGCCAGGATGGCTGGACCCACAGCAGTTGACCACTACCAATCAACACCCCCACACTTCTCATTCTTCGTGGCTGACAGTTCAGATGATGAAAGCCCACCCCTGCACAGTTTATGAATTTTATCTTCAACTTTCAAAGCTGAGTTCCACGTCTGAAGGTGGCTCAGTGGTAGGGCACTTGCCCAGGGTGTGTAAAGCCCTGGATTTGAGCTTTAGCACTGAGAGAAAAGCAAGGAAAGAGAGACAGAGGAGGGGGAGGAGACCAGTCCTAAAACCCTGCCTGTGTCATATAAAGCTGCATGTCCCAGAGGAGCTTTTGTCGAAAAGGGGCACTGGAAATAAATTCAGAGGCTAGTTTCCAATTTCCCAAGCAAGAAAAGTCAGTCCACATCCAGGCTGAAGAGGAAATCATGATGTGTGGAAAGGGGCAGAGGATGCTGGACAGGCAGCCATTTGCCTGTGACTGGTACAAACCCTCTTTACTGAGTGTCTCCAAATAGCATCTTCATAGAGAGCATGTGTGGGTTTGCTTCATTCCTAGGGTGTGTGTGTGTGTGTGTGTGTGTGTGTGTGTGTGTGTGTGTGGCGGGAGGTAGGGGAGGAGGGCTATTTGACTGGGCAGAGCAATGCTGAGAAGGAAAGCATGGTTTCTATCAATAACCCAGGGGGACAGTGCTGGCCTGTCTCCTCTCCTGACTCCTGAGGGAAGGATGGGGTCACTCAATCTCTGTCAGAGGGCCTGTCTTGGGAGGGCTCAGAGACTGCCAGCTAGGAAGACTGTCTCCAGTCCAACAGCAGGGGACAGACAGATAAGATCAGTGACACACTCCTGGGAAATTTCCAAATAACCTTATACAGTTGTCATCTCCTAAGAAGGCTCTGCTTTGAAAGTATAAAACAATTACCTTTTATATGAAAATTACCAGATTTAACTTCTGACTATCCAAATGCAGGATAATTTTATTTACCAAATCGAATTTTTACAATACTCTCATAGATATTTAAAAAGAATGAAAAGCAGTTTTATCTAATGCTGTAAATAACCGTCACTTATGGAAATTTAAAACATTTAAAAGTATTAAACATTGAGGTGTCTTCCCTCTGTGTTCAGGGAGGAAGAATATCTTCCCCGTTGTGGAAGGGTACCTGACTTTACATTGCACATCATGCTTCTTATGAGAATTATCTCTGGCAGTTATGACTGCAAAAATCTATCTTTTTGTCAGTTTTAAGACAGTTGTAGCCTAGCATTCATTACTGGGTGAATGGTCTATAACACTCTAAAATCCTGATCTTCATAACTGTTTAATCAATTTTATTTTGACTCAATATTAGTGTCCTAAGTTTTGTTACTGTCCTGTTTTTGTAAGCCAATTGAGATTACAAGAGGATCCTGACAATAGGTATTTCACATATATGTATTTATGTTGTCCAAATAAAAACAATAAGTACTAAAGAAAAACCAACTTCAAGTTGTTTTTTTTTCAAGATCAATTATTTATCTCATCAATTAATTAATTTCAAGTGTCAGAGGCACAGATGAAGGTCATGAGACCCTCTTTGAGAGAAGAAAGACGTTCTAGACCTGTCCTTTTTATATTCTTAATCCTCTTTACTTTTTGCCAAGTTCCTTACACAAATTTGGTTTTAGGCTGAGGATCAGACTTGGTATAACCCGTTACAGAGAAGCTACGCTTTGTGGGGATGGGGCTGCCTGGAGAAGAAGGAGGTGAGCCTGGGGGTCTGCAGGCCAAATCTCATCTTTACCATGTCTACAGCAGCAGCATTGGGGAGGGGGGACTGCAGGGGCAGGGACCTTCCCCCTGTATGGGCATTGGATTCCCTAGGAAAGTGCTAATTTCCTGGAGAAAGTTCTGTGGAGTTGGTGCTTGCTGCTTACCTTCAGCCTTGGTTCCTCTCCCTCTACCCCCAGCCTTCTTTCTCTATCCACACAGCATAGATAGAAGAAGCTGCTCTTCACACACTCTATGTTGTCCCTCTTCCAGAGACTCAGAGGCCAGGGAAGAGGCCAGCCATGAAAAGATGGTTGACTTCAAGCATCGCCTCACCTGCAAGACAGAACGGCCAGTCCAGGATGCTCAAGGATGGACCATTACCTGAGAAAGTCTGAGGCTGGATAGGCTTACAAGAGAGAGGAATTAAACATAAGATTAAAAGAGCCAGTCTCAGGCTAAGGATGTGGCTTAGTGGTAGTGTGCTTGCCTAGCATGCATGAAGCCCTGGGTTCAATTCCTCAGTACCACATAAACGGAAGAGGAAGAGGAAGAGGAAACAATTTTACTACATGACTTATGAAATGGTAGGCCCTCTGTATAACACCTTAATAATAACTACACACATATATATCTATGTCTATAGCTATAGCTATCTATCATATATATATAGTCAGTCATCATGGGGCTTGAACTCAGGGCCTTGCTTTTTCACTCAAAGCTAGCATTCTACCACTTTGAGCCACAGCTCTACTTTTGGTTTTCTGGTAGTTAATTGGTGACAAGAGTCTTGTGGACATTTTCCTGTCTGGGCTGGCTTTGAACTACAGTCCTCACATCTTAGCCTCTTGAATGGCTAGGATTACAGTGTGAGACACTGGCACCTGGATGATAAGATAATTTGTTAAAAAAGGAAAGCCAGTCTCTAGCTGGACACTGGTAACTCATGCTTGTAATCTTAACTACACAGAAAGCTGAGATCTGAGCATCACAATTCAGAGCTAACCAGAGCAGGACAGTCTTCCAGACTCTCTATCCAATTAACCAGCAAAAAGTGGGTCCAGAGAAATTATTTAAATGGTAGAGAATCAGATCAGCCTTGGGTAAGAAAATTGGAGAGAGAACTCTAGTCCCTGAGTTCAAAGCCCTGTATAAGCACACATACAAAATAAAGCAGGAGGACAGGCAGAATCAAATTATAACCAAGATACACTGAAAAACAAGCAGTAAACTCCTCTCCCATCATCTTCTGTATTTTTGTTTTTGTTTATTGTTTTGCCAGTCCTGGGGCTTAAACTCAGGGCCTCATACTGAGGAATTGAACCCAGGGCTTCATGCATGCTAGGCAAGCACTCTACCAATAAGCCACATTCCAGGCCTATCATTTTCTTATGATATTAAGTTACAAGATTGGAAGACATAAAGATGCTATCTGAATCTGCCCTCCCCTTTCAGATCCTAAGAAACCATAAACATCACAAATAGGTAGCAATTCAGCCTTGGGGCGGGTTTGTTTTCACTGTTAATTAAAAAACAAAAAGCAGACATTTTTTTGAAAGTGAAAGAAAAAAAAGTTGGGGGAGCAGACTCTCTGAAAGTGGAGAAGGGATTTTTCCAAGGAAAAATTCCTGGCTTCTTTGTTGGTTCTATCAGATGTATTTGGACCCTAGCTTACTCTTGGGGAAACGTGTCTTTGGCTTGATTTGTGAAGTGGTGGTCATGTGCAGACAGAAGCTTTTCTGGTAGGATCTCTTCCTCCCTCTGCCCTAGAATCTACCTTGGCCATGTTAGATCCCCGAATCATGGTCACTAATGCTTGTGGAGGTTTTCTTGTTTGCTTTTGTTTTGCTCTGGACTATTTGTGGTTTTTCCCAGCTTAGAAAGTAAGGAAAGTCCAGATAAAAAGCCCCATTTTGAGCTTTTACTCCCATTTCCTTCATGGGAAGTAGAAAAGACTTCTCTCTCTTGTCCAAATTTCTCCATACTTTATCCTGTTATAAAATAAATCTTTGCTCAAACTTATACCTTGTGAGATTCTCCTTGAAATGTTTTTCATTGCGAATTTGAAGTTCCTGTGATTGTTGCTTGGAAATTGGGCAACTGAGGTGAAGGAGTCTAACTATAGGGAAAGAATGCTAAAATCAACCTCTCCTAATCACACCCTAGGAGATACCCATGAGTTCTATCTCTTTCCCAGTGTCTCTCATAGGTACTCCTCTTTGGGGGTAATTAGTGGTTAGCAGTTAAGACTTTCCCTAGAGGGGAAAATAATTGGGGGCCAGTTTTAACCAAACTGAGGTACTTAACTGCCCAGTGGAACTTCTAGAATCCTTAGCTCGATCTTTACTCAATGAACTCCTACTTAAGGTTTCATACATATGCAATGCATCTCATGCATATACTTAAAACCATGGAATGACAACCGTGTGCACGCAAAACTGGCTAAGTGTGGTCCTTCACTTCCCTAAAATAAACCTACTATCATTATCACAAACTCCTCCCTAGCCCCCTAGAAAACTGAAATTCTTTTTTTAATGTTTATTGTAAAGATGCTGTACTGTACAGAGGTGTTAGAAAACCAGGTGTGGGCTCAAGGCATCTAGCTTGGGCCTGTCATTTCCCTCAGTATTGTACTTTCTCTCTATTGAACGCTTTGTTGGCCATTTGTATGTTGTGTCTATTCAATTTTTTGTTGGAGATACCAAGAACCTGAGCTCTTCTCCTCCTTGATTTGGTAACATGGACACATCATTGTGGCCCATCATGCACATGCACACTCCAAAATCACCAGAGAGGGGTTTAGATTGGGTTTGGACAGACTCAGTCTCTACTATTCAGGCATATCTCAACTGGAGATCTTTTTCTCTTTTTTTTTGTGGGTCGTGGGGCTTGAACTCTGGGCCTGAGTGCTGTCCCTCAGCTCTTCATTCAGCTCGAGGTTAGCACTCTATCACTTGAGCCACAGCATCACTTCCAGTTTTCTGGTGGTTTATTGGAGATAAGACTTTCATGGCTTTTCCTTCCTGGGCTGGCTTTGAAGCACGATCCTCAAATCTCAGCCTCCTGCATAGCTAGGATTACAAGCATGAGCCACTGGCGCCTGGCTTCAACCGGAGATCTTGAAATAAGGCTCCAAAGTTCTTTTGTGAAAATGTTTATTATATTATACAATACAAATATCCAGCTAATGCTTCAGTTTATGGTAGACTAAGCAACTCAATTATAACAGAAAAGTAAAGTATATGTCCAGCCCTGGGTCTCCTGTTAGGACCTGCAGCTCCTGCACTATGTGAAATGAAGGTTTGGTTTTGCAGTTCTGGGAGGGAGCTTCTGTGCACTTAGGATTCTCAGCCCTCATGGATGAGGCAATGCAGGAGGACAGAGGGCAGCAGGAGAAGGCTCAGCCTCCCATGTGCACTTGGTCCACTGGCAAATGAGGTGAGAAGGTCTTTTAGGTCTGAAAAACAAAAGAACACAGAAAATGGAAGGAATATACTATTGCAGGTTTGGCATCAAGGAATAAAATAGAAATGTTCACACTCATTCTCATAAAGGCTCTCTTCTGCCCTGACTCTGCCTCTTGGTCCAATTAAGGACTGGGAGGCAAGAGGGTGGGGTCTGAGTATACTGACTTCCTAGGCAGAAATCCTACAGAGCTGCCCATGGAGCAGGAAGGAATCTTGGGGGAGCCCAGCTCAGGGAAGCTGTGTCTGCCAGTCCTCCTTTACCTTCAGTGTTTTTTTTCAGGGTTAAGAGTGTAATAGAACATTTGCTACCACACAAGAAGCCATGGGTTCAATCCCCATTGCTGCAAAAGTCAAAATGAGTCCTTTCTTTACAACCAGAGACCACTGGATTAGATGGAATATGAAGAACAGAATGACAGTATTGTTTTTAAAGGCCAGGTACTGGCTCATGTGTGTAATCCTAGCTACTCAGAAGGCTAAGATCTCAGAATCACAGTTCAAAGCCAGTCATTGACTGAAAAGTCCATGATATTCTCTCTTTTTGTGTAGGTCCAGGTTTGGGACTCAAACTTGATATCTTCTATTTTCACTCATTGGCTAGCATGCTACCAACTGAGCCATGCCTCAAACCCCAAAAAGTCCATGACATTCTAACTCCAAATAACAGCGAAAAAGCTGAAATTAGAAATGTGGCTCAAATGGCAGACCAACACTCTTGAGCAAAAAGGCCAAGTGAAAACTCATGGTCTAAGTTCAAGTCTTAGCATCAATAAAAACCCTAAGGGCTGGGAAGGTGGTCAGTGGTAGAGCACTTGCCTTGCATGCCTGAGGCCCTGGGTTCGATTCCTCAGCACCACATAAACAAAAAGAAAAAAGCTGGAAGTGGCGCTGTGGCTCAAGTGTTAGAGCGCTAGCCTTGAGCTGAAGAGCTGAAGGACAGCACCCAGGCCCAGAGTTCAGGCCCCACAACCGGACCCAAAAAATAAATAAATAAATAAATACCCTAAAACTAAAACAAAACAAAAAGCAACACAAACACAAGGAAAATTAACAGACAAATAGCCTTTTAGCCTTTTATATTTAACTAGTGAACAGAATAAGGTAAGATTTTGCTTCCTGTATACAAAACTTAAGTCCTTGTGTCTGCTGTTTCAGCCACCTCTGTGAATTTGGTTAGTCTGAGTCAGCCAGAAGCCCTGAAGTCACTCTTTGAGCTTAGACAGTTTCCACTATACATTTATTTCAAAAATTAAAAAATGTACTTTGAATATTTAAACTGATATTTACTGTGGGTTTTTTTTTCCTTGTTGTTGGTTGTGGGCTTGAACTCAGACCTGAGCCTTTTTGTGCTCAAGGCTAGTGCTCTACCACTTGAGCCACAGAGCCACTTCTCGTTTTTGAATTAGAGATGAGTCTCATGGGCCCTTCTCTGCCTGGGTTGGTTTTGAACCATGATCTTCAGATCTCAGTCTCCTGAGTAGCCTCCTGAGTAGTAGGATTACAGGCAGGAACTATTTACTGTGCTTTCTTATATCTATAAAATTAATGATTTTATAGCCCATCTTTATTTTGTGTTGCACAGAAGAAACTCTGCCTCTGACTTGCTAGTGTACACTGGGATTATCATGTATATATGAGAGTCCTTTTGATACAGTAGAGATGTTTGTCACATCTATTAGCCTTGAACATATGTGAACAGGAAGATATAAACAAACTGTGTATGTTGCTTAGCACAGCTACCATGCTGAAGAGCATTATTTTTGAAGTGGTAATTTTTGGAGGTTACTGTAAATGAAGATAGTAGGTTAGCCAAGATTGCTAAAGCCAACCCCTTTCCTAGTCAGTACCCTATTGGTGAGTTCTGTCTCCTCCCTAGTACCTCCCATAGCCACTCCTCCTTGGGGGTAATTAGTGGTCAGTCTGCTGTTAGACTTTTCCTAGGGAAAAGTCTTTGCTCTGCCACTTTACTTTTGTGAATGTGTTTTCATTCTATTCTTTCTTGAAGACACGGAGAATCTGAGATCCTTACCTCTGCAACTACCCTATGAACAAGAGGGGCCATTCTCATGATGTCCTCAAAGACTGGGTCCTGAGTCTAGTATTCAGGCATTTGTTTGCCTGTTGGTTGGTTGCTTTTGTTCTAGAAATGCTTTTTCAAAACCTGAGTTTGTAGCTGTGAGGTAAAGCTTGACTTAACTCCAATTCCCATTCTTTTCTCTGTGTGGGTGCCAGTCCTAGGACTTGAAGTCAGGACCTGGACACTGTCCTTGAGCAAAAAACCTCAAGATTTTTTTACTCAAGGACAGAGCACAGCTCCACTTCCAGTTCTTTGATGGCTAATGGAAGATGGATCCTGGAAGATAAAAATTTCATGGACTTTTCCTGCCCAGGGTGGCTTCTTCTAGGACCCTCAGATCTCAGCCTCTAGAATAGCTAGGATTACAGGTATTAGCCATGGGCACCAACCTACAAGACTTTTATTATTGGACTTAAAAACACAGTCAGAGCAAGGAGGGACCCTAGAGGCCCCTTGGCTTGAGGAATCTCAGTGTGGTGGAGGTGTAGAATGTCATCCACTTGCAAGTTCTCCCACTATAGATATCTTCTCAAATAATTATCATGATGTTGTAATTTTTATTCTATTCGATATAGTCTTGAAAACTATTTAACATCCCATTATAAGATTTAATTTTTAAATTTAATTGTGTGTGTGTGTGTGAGTGTGTGTGTGTGTGTGTGTGTGTATTTGTGTGTGCTGGACCTGGGCTTGAACTCAGGGCCTGAGTAATCTCCCTGAGCTTTGTCCTCAAGCCTAGTGCTCTACCACATTGAATCTCATAGGCTTTCTTTCCTGCCTGAACTGGCTGTCAATTGCAATCCTCATATATCAGCCTCCTGAGTAGCTGGGATTACAGATGTGAGCCACTGGCACCTGGCTTAACATATATATATATATATATCCTTAACATATATATATTCTATATATATATATATATATATATATATATATATATCCTATGGGGTTGGGTTAGAGTATGGCTGACTATTCAATATTGTAATATTCTAAATAACATCATCAAAAACATCTCATTCTGTTGGCACACAGTTGTAATCCTAGCTACTTATGAATCTGAGATCTGGAAGACTGAGGTTTGAAGCCAACTGGAACAGAAATTCCATGAAACCATCTCTAAAATAACCAGCAGAAAGCAAGACTAGAAGTGTGGCTCAAGTGATAAAGAACCAGGCGAGTGAGTAAGATAGAGATCCTGAGTCCAAACTCTATTATCACAAACAAGCAACAAACTTAATTATTAATTATTCTTCCATGAAGGGCCTAGCAGTCTATTTACCATGTGTAGGAATTAACCTTTCTGAACCAAGTTTCATCAAATATAAAAATGTATAAAGTATAATGATTCAAAGGTTGTGGTGAATATTAGACATGACATGTATAAGAAATGCCTAAAACGTACGATCACACACAGTATGGCCATCATTGTCACATTGTCATTGCAATAGCGTGATCAACAGGTCAGTGGTGTTACTCTCCTTTACATACCCTACCAATTACTTGGTTTCTGCTTTTTTCCTTTTTCCTCTCTGAAAGAACATTGTTTCATCCAGCTTTGATAAGTAGAAGTAACATTTTTGGAAGCTGTTGCCAGTGGCAGACAGACAACCATCTTGACTGGATGTTTCTGAGGATGTAGACAGTGATCAGCTATCTTGGGCCTCTGTTCCTGCCTGGCCTCACAGAGGGACTAATAGGACTCTAGCCAGCTCCTACCCCTCATTTCCATTAGGGAAAGTGGGCAATCTCAAGTGAGACTACATCTGATTTGCTCCACCCAGAAATCCACCTAGAAATCCCCAAAATTTACTTATTCCGGTATCTTGGACTTAGAATGATCAAGTGGTGAAGCAGAAGCATATGCCCAGCAGATGGAGAAGCCCTAAGAGAGAAGAGCTTTAGGGAGCTGCGGTTGGCATGGGGGTGGGGATGGGGCAGGTTAAGTACAGGGAGGGATAAGTGAAATACTGAGGGAAGGGAGGGTGCTGGTGTGAGCTGAGGACTGGGCCTTCATTAGTAGAATCTTTCCAATGCTGATCCCACCTGGGACGGAAGAGAAAGGGTAGAAGTTGGGTTAGGCGCTAAGCATTCATTGAGTGTGCCCCATCAAGAGCAAGAGGTCTGCAGCAAGTGGGGTTGAATGAGTGTGCAACCATGAACTGTGCCCGGCCTCTGGAGAGGAGTGCACACCGGAGAGGCAGAAGGGGTGGGGCTCGGGGCCTCAGGACTCAGAATGCTCCCTGGACACCTTGCACAGCTAGCCATCCAGAAATGCGGCGGAGACTAGAGCCCCCGGGAGCTGCCCTCCCCGACTGCCCACGACCGCCCCGGCTGGGCAGATCTGCTGAAGAGCAGAGGCCAGCGGGCACCCTTTATCGGAAGTCAGTGGATTCTTTCCTGCGCCCTTGCCCAGCTGGGGTCCCCGCGGGGGGGGGGGGAGCCGGTGTCGACTTCGCAGAGACCTAACTCGCAGGTTCACCTCTACTTACAGCTTGTCAGCTCCAAAAGCCCCACTCACTGCATAAAGACACTGAAGTCACAGTGGATGCAGCGACCCAGAGCCACGAGAATATGGATAGGAGAAAACATAAACTTCGAAAACATTAATTAATTCACTACGTGATTCACAAAGAATATGGCTTCCTTAGAGATGACGTTATCTACTTTGCTCTTCTGACTGTTGGTGGCCCAGGAAGAGACTCCGGACCCGTGTGCCCGGTGAACCGCGGCCAAGGCGCGGCGCTTACCACAGCGGCCCTGCGTCTGGCGAGGGAGGCAGTGTAGGGCGGCGAAGATGCACCGGCAGAGGCGGCAGCCTCGGAAGGTCCAGGCCCCGTGCACGAGGGCCCCGCAGTCGCTGAGCAGGCGGGGATCAGGGTCAGTGCAGGGGTCCGTGCGCGCCCTGCGCCCACCGCGGCCCCGATCCCAGTCCCGATCCGGACCCGGACCTGGCCCGCGCCCACCGCGGCCCCGATCCCGACCCTGGCCGCGCCCACTCCGGCCCCGATCCCGACCCGGCCCGCGCCCACCGCGGCCCCCGATCCCAGCCCCGATCCCGACCCGGCCCGCGCCGACCCCGATCCCGATCCCCATCCCGACCCGGCCCACGCGTCCCCGGTGCCCACCTTCGCCTCTGGTCGTGCTCACAGTAGCGACCCGTGAAGTGGGGAGGGCACACGCAGAAGCTGCCCAGCACGCAGGTGCCGCCGTTCCGGCAGCAGCGCAGTCTTGGGAACACACCTGTGGGCGAGGGGGCCCCGTGTGACCCACCCGGGGAGGAGCGGTGCCGGCGGCCTGCCGGCTGTGTTTGCTCGGGGAAAACCCTGCTGGTTGTTTGAGGGGCTAAACACAAACCACCCGGAACGCCAGGCGCGTCCCGGTCCTGTCCCCGGAGAGCGTCCAGACCCGAAGCCAGCGGGGTCCTCGCTCCTTCCTTTCATGTGCTAAAGAGGGGCGCTGGTTTGTTCCGTGATTAAAGACAGGCCTCGCAGGACAAGACCACCCAGGGGCGTGATGCTGCCAAGCCTCCGCCACCCCGCACCCCGCGCCCCCACCCCACCGCCCTGAGGACTTCGGGGACACCAAGCCAGGAGCCCAGGGTCTGAGATAAGCCAAGCCAGGGCCCGCTGTTACCTTGGTTGGGGACATTTGTTTTTAAATGTTTAATGATGGCCTGTAGGGAAAGTCATTGAAGAGCAAATGTGTCGCTTTTTCGATGGAACGTTTGAGAATGAAACCCTCACTAGGGAATGTTTACTATCCAGTGATTCACGACTTGACCACTGTGAGGAATTCCCTTTTGGTTCTCATTTGAGCCCTAATTCAACCCGCTTTGCGTTTCTGGATTCGGGACCTTGACCACCACCACTACAAAGGCTTGTCTGGCAGCCTGGGACTTACGCCCGTCAGAGGCTCTGGAGTAGAGAGCAGACTCCCGAAGCCTCCATTCCTCCTCCGACCCGTTGTCCTTCCTGAAATCACTCAGGGTCAAATTGAGTGTTGTTGGCTGAAGCTTTGGAGCTGCAATCTTGCCAGCTTCTTTACCGCTTTGGCGTGTCTCACTTTGATAGCCTTTTAACAAAGGGAAAATATGAACCTGATACCGAGACACAGGTATGCTATACAACTAAAGCCAAGACTTTAAATATAAAATGCTTACTGTTTCCCAAATGGATGAGCTGCAGTGCCAAACTGATGATGAACAGAAACCTAGAATATTTAAAGAAAATTATCGATATTCCAGATGTAAAACGTAGAAGCAGAAATTCACACACAGAAAAATGGCATGTAAATGGCAACTCTTCTGTACAACACCGGAACAATAAAATCATACTTTTAAATGGCATGTGATCTTTATACACAAACATATAACATATTTAAAATAAAAATTCATTTTGTAGATTTTTAAATTAATTTACTTTATTATCATGACAAAGGTGGTGCACAGGATTACAATTACATGAGTACATCGCCCTTTGCATGGTGTCTTTTGTTCCTTCAATATCTCCAGTCTCTCTGTATTGATCAATAGATTATAAGGAATGGGCAGTGCATACTTCCCTTTAATGAACTGGAACAGTAGTGCATACACAGTATTTTATCCTGAGAATTTTAACCCCACCTTTCTCCCCATCTTGACTCTAAGATATTGATGACTTCTGGGCTTACCTGACATAAGTCCTCCAGATCATTTTCCCACTGACACTTCTGGTTGGTAAGAGAGGTCCCTTCTCTCATCCATACACTGAAGATCAATTTCCACAGAAGCTGAGTCTGAGCAGTCTTTATTTTGGAGGTTTCTTTGCTCCACACCTGGCAGTAACTGCATCAAGACACAGGACAGACACATTTGGAAGACACAGACATTCTCTTCCCTTTGCCTGGACCAGAAAACACAGCACTAAGACCTTTGAGTACTGCTGATGAAGCCCATCAGCAAGGTCCTGCTGTGACACAGAGGAGACTGAAGGACTATCCCTCAATGAGCCCAACCTTGCTCAGGAGGGGGTTGGGACATGGGGTGGGTAACTCCCTCCTGAGCAGTATTTACAGTGCTGACAGCATCAGGGGTGGCCAGTCATTGAAGTAAGACATTAGTGACCAAGACAAGCCTTTTCCTCACTGAAAAACAACCACAAAATTAAAAGATTGAAACCCTAATGTGAACAAAAATGGGTTGATGGTTGTTGCTTACTCTTTGTAGAGGAGATGGTGAAAGGCCAGCTAGAATGGGGAGCTGCTATGTGGGCCATTCCAGTAGCCTAGGCATGAGGATGAGTGTGGGATACGAAGTTATAAGGGGTGACTTCAATCCCTGCTTTCAGATGAAGTCTTTGTGCCCATTTACTACTGTACCCTCCTCCTTCTTACCCTGTGTAAAATGTGAGGAAACTGAGGCTTTGAGTGGTTAAGACCTTGCCCAGGAAGATGTTTGAAAAGCACGAGAAGTACATACAACCCAAGTGCTGAAGAGGCTGTGCTGAGCATGCACAGGCAGAACTGCTCCGGCTGGCAGCCTGAATCCAGTAACAGAGAGACAGAGGACCTCTTGAGGCAGTTTTCAGTTATTCCAGATCACCAGTATGGCCTGGGCTCTCCAGCAGCACTAACTAGGGAAACTTGCAACTCACCCTGGCAAATAGTTCTGTGATTTTAATATAAAAACTGATTTCTAAAAGTGGTATATGTCCTTCAAAGTTCAATGTCCCTGATACAGATGTAATCATTGCTTTTAAATGTCACTACTTGATCTCAGGGCCTAGGTGTTGTCAATGAGCATTTTTGCTCAAGGCTGGTACTCTCCCACGTCAGCTACAGCTCCACTTCCAGATTTCTGGTGATTATTTGAAAATAAAAGTTTCCTAGACTTTCTTACCTGGGCTAGCCCTAAACTGTGACCCTCAGAGCTCACCTTCCTGAGAAGCTAGGATTACAGACAAGCCACAGGCAACTGGCTTCAGACATGGTTTGTTGTGCTTTTAATTGAGGGAATTAGTGAGGCTGCTGTTCAACTAGAAGGGAGGTGGTGACCTTGCCTGGCATGGGGCCTCCTGGTGAAGGGCTCTGGGAGCTTCCAGGACCAGGGTAAGACCAACAGACACACTGGCCAAACTTGAAGAGGTGTCACCACCTCAGGGCGGCATCTGAAGACATCTGTAAGCAAGCCATGAAAATGCACCTATAGGGCTGGGAAGGTGGCTCAGTGATAGAGCGCTTGCCTTGCAAGAATGAGGCCTTGGGTTCGATTCCTTAGCACCACATCAGCAAAAATAAAAAAGCTGGAAGTGGTGCTGTAGCTCAAGTGGTAGAGCGCTAGCCTTGAGCTGAAGAGTTGAGGGACAGTGCCCAAGCCCAGAGTTCAGGCCCCACGACTGGACCCCCCAAAAAAATTAAAAAAAGAAAAGAAAAGAAAATGCACTTATAAACTCGGTGGCTATTATAGGTCAATTACATAATTCAGTTACATATAAAAATTAAGTATGTTTAATGGCTTTAAATCAGTAGAAGCTTCTATATGAATTAAGTGGGTTATATATTAAAATAAGACCACATGTAAATTAAAAGACTACTTATTTGTATGAATTAGGTTTGTTTTGCTTTTTTTTTTTCTTGTCAGTCATGGGGCCTGAACTCTGGGCCTGGGCGCTGTCCCTCAGCTCTTCAGTTCAAGGCTAGCATTCTACCACTTGAGCCACAGTACCACTTGCGGCTTTTTCTGCTTATATGGTGCTGATGAATCGAACCCAGGGCCTCATGCATGCAACGCAAGCACTCTACCACTGAGCTACCTTCCCAGCCCTTGTTTTGTTGGGGTTTGTGCCTGTTCTAGGGCTTGAACTCATTCAGGGCCTGAATGCTGGCCCTGAGCTTTTGTACAGAAGATTACTGAAGGCTCAGCTCCACTTCAGGCATTTTGGGTACTTAATTGGAAATGAGAGTCTCATGGACTTTCCTGTGTGAGCTGGCTTCAAACTGTGATCTTCAGATCTCACCCTCCTGAGCAGTTAGGACTATAGGCCTGAGCCACCAGCTCAGGGAATCAAAGCTTTCTGATAATATTAGGTCTCAAAAGGACTATTTAAGATCTAACATCCTTTCTCATTAAAGTCTTCATAGTAGCTGAGTGCTGCTATAGATTCACACCTATAGTCCTACCTACTCAAAAGGCTGAGATCTGAGGGTCCCAGTTTGAAGCCAGCTCAGGTAGAAAAGCCTGTGAGACTAATCACCAATTAACTACTAAACAGCTGCAAGTTGACCTGTGGCTCAAATGGTAGAGTACTAGCCTTGAGTGGATAAAAATCTCAAGGATTACACCCAATCCCTGAGTTCAAGCCTCAAGGACTAGTCACACCTCTGTGTGTATGCGTGTGTGCATGCACACACGTACACACACGCACACACAGAGTCTTCACAGAAGACATTTCCAAGCATGCAAAAGCTGGCAAACACAAGTTCACCAATTAACTACCATGTCAGTCTTTCCAATCTTATCCTTTATTTTCTTGGTGTTGGAAAAAGCAAGTCCCAGAACATGTGATAATTCATCTATCAAATACAGGTGTGCTTTGTTGTTGATGTTTGCTTTGTTTTCTGGTGCAAACCACTAATCTAAGGTATTGTGCTTTCTAGGCAAGCTACACTCCCAGCCCTCAAGTGAGGTTTTGAAAATCTATACTTTACTAGTGGAAGTTGTAGAAAAAAGGAAAGGCAATGTCTTGCCTGTAAGAGGGAAGAAATAGCCCACCCATGGCTGTTTGCTTAAGTCAGCTGAGGAGAGGCAGGGGGCTTTGGTGATAAAGCCACTGGCAAACTTTTTCACCATACTGTGACTTGCTCTCCCGCTGGCTTTGTGATACTGGGTGTCAACTTTACCGTGCTCCAAGGTCTTGGAAAAGAGCTTTGCATTTCAGTGCAGGGTTACTGCCCTATTTGGCACCAAAGAGGCATGGCCAGCCAGAGGCCAGAGGTTGCCTGGTAACTGCTGGAGTAGGGGGTAGGGAAAGATGGCAGTCTTCCTTTTGTTATCAGTGGTAAACAGATAAGCCTGGAGCCACTCGTCCAGCCCAGAGGAATGCTCTAACTCGCAAAACATGTAGGACTTGGATGCACAGGGACACCCTGTCGTTTTCAGCACATCCAACAAACACCGTAGAACAAAGGAGGTGTGAAGGACGCTGAGAATGACTGTAAAGCAAGGTTCTCTATACAGGCTTCTCACTGGGGTCTATGGCAGAGAGAATGACTGCTTCCCTTCAACCTCCTACATGCTTTATTTAGCATGCTTACTTTCTGTCTCTAAGAAATTTTCCAGTTACAGCATCAAACAACAACAACTAGAATTTTCCTTTTCTAAGTATTTTATCTGAATGAGATTATTATATTTATGTGTGAAAGAAAGAGAGAAAAGATCAAAATCCAAAATTCAAAGTATAGTTTATGTTGAATGTGTATTGCATTCAGACCACTATAAAGTTGAAAATTCATAAGTAAAAATACTTGTAAGTTGAGTAACATCATTTTTTTTTCTGTTTTATTTTTTTACTCAGTCATTGGCCTGAACTGTGGGCCTGGGCACTGTCCCTTAGCTCTTCACCTCAAGGCTAGTACTCTACCACTTGAGCCACGGCGTCACTTCCACCTTTTTTTTTCTGCTTATGTGGTACTGAGGAATCAAACCCAGGGCTTCATGCATGCAAGGCAAGCGCTCTACCACTGAGCCACCTCCCCAGCCCTGTATTTCCATTTTTGATAGCATTTAAAATTATTCAAAATTCAAAGAAGTAATAAAGACTTGAAAAGCAATATTATAAGAACATATAAATAAGCCAGGCATGGTAGCACACACCTGTAATCCAGAACTTGGAGGACTGAGATAGGAGAATCTCCAGTTTGAGACCATCTTGAGCTGCATAGTGAGACCCTACTCAAAGAGAATAAAAACCATGCAATAAGCACACACACACACACACACACACACACACACACACACAACAAATCAAAGGCCCTATATACAATGCCAAAGTAATCACAGATGCTAGAAAAGCATTTTTTAAGCTTGTAATATTTTAATGGCCAAAGGTTAGAATATGAAATAAATGTCTAAACACTTTTAAAAGACAAAATTACCACAAGTTGAGTTTTATAGGTCATAATTTGCTTTATTTGAAATTCTAGAATCAGAATTTAAAATTCTGGGTGGAAGTAGAACCATTGGTTAGGAGGGAAGATAAATTTTTGTTATTCTTTAGATGAAGGCAGTTACTAAAACAAAAAAAAAACAATCTGAATGCTGAATTTACGATGAACTATATGAAACAGCATGAAGTCAATGGCACATAGCCAGTCCTCTTAGAAGTAGACAAGGGACTCCTAGTCTTCAGAAGTTGTGTGTGATTTGGATGAAAATGGAGTGAGCTGGTCTAAAGGGTTGCAGCCACTGACTATGTGAGTGGGTTTCTGTTTGTGTGAGCAATCCTTACAGCCAATCTGCGCTGTATTACCTGGATGTGGTCAATTGACAAAGGCACATCTCTAATTTTCTGTGTCTGTGGAAGGGATCCTTTCTGTGTAGAAATGTATCCCTCTCCCCCAAACAATGCTCTCATTGTCCTCATTTTGTCAGGAGAGAAAAGGGGGCAAAAAGGACCCAAGGTGCCAGCGTGGAGGCTGACAGCTTCCTTACTGGCCT